AAAAGAGAAAGGAAGGGAAGGAAGGAGAGAAGGAAAGAGAGGGAAGGAGGAAAGAAGAGAAGGAAGGAGGGAAAGTGGAAAGAAGGGAAAAAAGGAAGGAAGGAAAGAAAGAAGGTAAGGGAGGAAAACAAGAAAGGAAGGAAATATAGGATTCTTTAAGCGCATAAATTGAAACTATTCCAAATTAGGCTCGGTGATGGCATAAGAGGCAGGATCGGACTTTCATGCTGGCCTTTAAGAGTACATGGTGAGCTGCAACCACTGCAAAGAAAAGATAACATTTTGATTATTTTAAATTCAACATGTTTTTAAATTGACTTGCATGTTTAATTATTTTTGGATATTTACATGTTGCGAGTTTTAAATTGTATTGCTTTTTTGTGACTGTTGTGAACCTTATTATTATTATTATTATTATTATTATTATTATTATTATTATTATTATTATTTGAAACACAACAAAGGAAGTCCACAGCAGACACTCTGCTGGCTGTTGTATTGGACACTTCCCAAGTGTCTAGGACTGTGTGATGTATTATTATTATTATTATTATTATTATTATTATTATTATTATTATTTGAAACACAACAAGGTGAGTCCACAGCAGACACTCTGCTGGCTGTTGAATTGGATCACACGTCGGACACTTCCCAAGTGTCTAGGACTATGTGATGTATCAGCGAATATTGCGTGCAGATCCCAGTAAGGTGGCTTTTTGCAGCTGGCAGATGGTAATCTTATCAGCGCTGATTGTTTTTAAGTCCAGGCCAAGGTCTTTAGGCACTGCACCCAGTGTGCCGATCACCACTGGGACCATCTTGACTGGCTTGTGCCAAAGTCTTTGCAGTTCAATCTTTAAATCCTCATATCGTGAGAGAGAGGGAAGGAAGGCTTTTCCAATTGTTGTTGTTGTTGTTATTATTATTATTATTATTATTGCACTACATAACACGTTATTATTATTATTATTGCACTACATAACACATTATTATTATTATTATTACACTACATAACACATTATTATTATTATTATTACACTACATAACACATTATTATTATTATTATTACACTACATAACACATTATCATTATTATTATTACACTACATAGCACATTATTATTATTATTACACTACATAACACATTATTATTATTATTATTACACTACATAACACATTATTATTATTATTATTACACTACATAACACATTATTATTATTATTATTACACTACATAACACATTATCATTATTATTATTACACTACATAACACATTATTATTATTATTACACTACATAACACATTATTATTATTATTATTACACTACATAACACATTATTATTATTATTATTACACTACATAACACATTATCATTATTATTATTACACTACATAACACATTATTATTATTATTATTACACTACATAACACATTATTATTATTATTACACTACATAACACATTATTATTATTAATATTACACTACATAACACATTATTATTATTATTATTATTAAACTACATAGCACATTATTATTATTATTACACTACATAACACATTATTATTATTATTATCATTATTATTATTACACTACATAACACATTATTATTATTATTATTACACTACATAACATATTATTATTATTATTATTACACTACATAACACATTATTATTATTATTACACTACATAACACATTATTATTATTATTATTACACTACATAACACATTATTATTATTATTATTACACTACATAACACATTATTATTATTATTATTACACTACATAACACATTATTATTATTATTATTACACTACATAACACATTATCATTATTATTATTACACTACATAACACATTATTATTATTATTACACTACATAACACATTATTATTATTATTATTACACTACATAACACATTATTATTATTATTATTACACTACATAACACATTATTATTATTATTATTACACTACATAACACATTATTATTATTATTATTACACTACATAACACATTATTATTATTATTACACTACATAACACATTATTATTATTATTATTATTATTACACTACATAACACATTATTATTATTATTATTACACTACATAACACATTATCATTATTATTATTACACTACATAACACATTATCATTATTATTATTACACTACATAACACATTATCATTATTATTATTACACTACATAACACATTATTATTATTATTATTATTACACTACATAACACATTATTATTATTATTATTACACTACATAACACATTATTATTATTATTACACTACATAACACATTATTATTATTATTATTACACTACATAACACATTATTATTATTATTATTACACTACATAACACATTATTATTATTATTATACTGTACGAAGACAGAACCACATTATCAGATAATTAGTGACACCTACAGTAACACAGGTAGATTATGCGCGATTACACTACATAACTACAGATGTAGTATAGGATTAACTACATAACACTTATTGGAGGCGGAGTACCAGACAGAACACAGGATTATTATGTATGATTACACGACATAACACATGATGTGCAGTAGTATTGAGTACAAACATAGCACAGTAGTATATTAGGACACTAACAGAACACAGGAGTATGTATTATGATACACGACTATCAACACATGAGTATTATTTGATGTATATACCACGACAGAACACATGATTAGTAGGAGGATTACACGACAGAAAACACATGTGAGTAGTAGGAGGAGGACACTACTGAAAACACAGGATGAGGAGGCGAGGTACACGACAGAAACACATTTGAGGAGTAGGATGAGTACACGACATAACACAGTAGTCATTAGATGTATGACACGACAAGACAGTATTAGTATATTACACTACAGAACACTGTATGATTATGATGAGGACACAACACAGAACAATGTGAGTATAGGATTACACTACAGAACACATGAGATTAGGATAGGTCCACTAAGAACACATTAGACAGGAGTATTACACTACATTAACACAGATTAATTAGGACATACATAAACACAGTATTATGATTATAGACACGACAGAAACATAGTAGGATTAGAGGATTACACTACAGGAACACTGAGTCAGTAGTTAGGATACACTACAGAAACACAGTATCATGATTAGATTACACTACAGTAAACACATCTTAGTATGGATGAGTACACACATAACACAGTATCGAGTAGTATGATGGACACACATAAACACATGAGAGTATTAGTAACACGACATAATACACATTATCCTTTATTATTATTAAAAGACATAACACATTATTATTATTATTACACTACATAACACATTATTATTATTATTATTACACTACATAACACATTATTATTATTATTATTACACTACATAACACATTATTATTATTATTATTACACTACATAACACATTATTATTATTATTATTACACTACATAACACATTATTATTATTATTATTACACTACATAACACATTATTATTATTATTACACTACATAACACATTATTATTATTATTACACTACATAACACATTATTATTATTATTATTACACTACATAACACATTATTATTATTATTACACTACATAACACATTATTATTATTATTATTACACTACATAACACATTATTATTATTATTATTACACTACATAACACATTATTATTATTATTATTACACTACATAACACATTATCATTATTATTATTAAACTACATAGCACATTATTATTATTATTACACTACATAACACATTATTATTATTATTATTACACTACATAACACATTATTATTATTATTACACTACATAACACATTATTATTATTAATATTACACTACATAACACATTATTATTATTATTATTACACTACATAACACATTATTATTATTATTACACTACATAACACATTATTATTATTATTATTACACTACATAACACATTATTATTATTATTATTACACTACATAACACATTATTATTATTATTATTATTACACTACATAACACATCATCATCATCATCATTATTATTATTATTACACTACATAACACATTATTATTATTTATTTATTTATTTATTTATTTACTTCATTTGTTGACCGCCGCTCTCAGCCCTGGGGCGACTCGCGGCGGTGTACAACATGTAAAAAACAGTCTACAAAACATACAATATATCAACAGTCAAATTACACATTAATCTAATCACACTAAAAAATCCGCGCCATCACAACATAGAATCAGTAGCCAATCTCATAGTCCGTAGTCCGTTCCAAATGTCATTGCCAGATTCGTGTGGCTCTCAATTAAATGCCTTCTCGAATAGCCAGGTCTTTAGGCTCTTACGAAAAGCCATGAGGGAGGGCGCCTGTCTGATGTCAACAGGGAGGGCGTTCCACACCCGGGGGGCCACCACTGAGAAGGCCCTCTCTCTCGTCCCCGCCAGGCGTTATTATTATTATTATTATTATTATTATTACACTACATAACACATCATCATCATCATCATCATTATTATTATTATTATTATTATTACACTACATAACACATTATTATTATTATTATTATTACACTACATAACACATTTTTGTTCCTGGGTTGTAAATGTCATTTCCTAATTGGTTCTATTATAAACACATGGGAAAAGTTTACTAAACTTCCCAAACTTTGTTCTTGAAGGAGGGACATCATCCTGCCAGAGCGCATTTTGCTCTAGTTTCCCAATGAATCTCTCATCATTGAGTCCCAACTAATTCAACATAGTTTGTGGCACAAAAACAAAGTTTATGGAGTAGGACAACTACTCTCAAAGTAAGGACTGTCCAATGAAACAGGAAATAACACTTTCAAACCAGGAACAGGATATTTTTTTATAATGTTATATAGATGGACTTCCTTCTTACCTCCCTTAAAGTCACACGGATTTGTCCGCTGCCATCTCTGTCCAAGGATTTGAAGGCACCTAAAAAACCGGAACAAATATATTCCATATATTCATTAGACAGGCAGCTAAAATGAGCACTTTTAAGTCAATTAAATACACCAAAAATAAAAATAACAGTATAAAAACATCAGAGAGGTCTATAAATTCACATGCATGGAGGAATGCAAGGAATTCAAGCTGGCTGCCATACTGCAGATACAAAACCCACTGGGAGCAGCCATTAAAAACACACAACGTTTCTGAACACAATTACGGCTCCTCAATCTGCATCCCTCCAGAAAAGCCAATGGCCGGCGACTTACGAAACATGGCGTCCAGGCGGACCAGGCAGCTGATGAAGTTGTCAAAGTCCATGTTCCCGTTCTCGTCCGAATACCTGCGCACCATCATGCTGTAGAGCTGCTCGTTGAGCCGAAAGCCTGAAATAGAGAAGGGAGGAAAGGAAAATAGGCGTTTTCTGTTTTTATATATATATATATACACACACACACACACACACACATATATGTCATTAGAAAAGTCCTGCAAACATCATTGGGAGCAATGCGTTGAGTGAGAATGTATGCAGGAGCAAGACTGCTCCACTTTGGCTCCTGGGTTGCAAAATGCTGCCCCCTGGTGGCAGAAAAGATTGACTGGGAGGAGCAACTATTTGGCAGAAAAAGCTAATTATTAATATTAATATTAATAATTTAGATTTATACCATTCTACCATGGTATAAATCCCAAACCCATCCGTCTTCAGGTCAGGATCTAGAAAGCAAACAAAGCGAGCTGAGTCTTTGTTGGGACATTATTATTATTATTATTATTCAGCTTTATACCATTATATCATGGTATCAATAATAATAATAATAATAACAACAATAATAATTTAGCTTTATACCATTCTACCATGGAATACATCACACAGTCCTAGACACTTGGGAAGTGTTCGACTTGTGTTTATTTAATACGGAATCCAGCATATAGATCTCGCTTGCTGTGACATATTGTGCTTTTGTGTCAGTAAAATAACAATAATAATTTAGCTTTATACCATTCTACCTTGGTATAAATAATAATAATAATAATAATAATAATAATAATAATAATAATAATAATTTAGCTTTAGACAATTCTACCATAGTATCAATAATGCTAATAACAACAACAACAACAACAACAACAACAACAACAACAACAACAGGCTCAGTTGGTGGGGACGAGGGACAGGGCCTTCTCAGTGGTGGCCCCTCGGCTGTGGAATGCCCTCCCCACAGATATTAGATCGGCTCCCTCACTAATGGCATTTTGGAAGAAAGTAAAAACTTGGTTATTTGAACAGGCGTTTGAATAGGCAGTGCAATGAATTACAATGAATAATAGGAAATCGGAATAACGGATGACGAACTTGGATTTCCGTTATGAGACGCTAATGAGTCACTTATTGATGTGATTGATGTTTATTGATGTTAATTGCTTAGTGTATTACTGCCTTAACTGTTTTTATATGGTTTGTATGTAGTTAGCATTGAATCTTTGCTGCTGTTTTGTTATTAACCGCTCTGAGTCGCCTAAGGGCTGAAAAGAGCAGTATACAAATAAAGTAAATAAAGTAAATAAATAAATTTAGCTTTATACCATTCTACTATGGTATAAATAATAATAATAATAATTATTATTATTATTATTATTATTATTTATCTTTATAGCATTCTACCATAGTATCGATAACAATAACAATAACATTACTAATGTAGCTTTATACCATTCTACTATGGTATAAATAATAATAATAATAATATTAATAATAATAATAATTTAGCTATAGACCATTCTACCATAGTATAAGCAATAATAATAGTAATAACAATAATGATAATACTTTAGCTTTATACCATTCTATCATGGCATAAATAATAATAATAGTAATAACAATAATAATTTAGCTTTATACCATTCTACCATGGTATAAATAATAATAATAATAATAATAATAATAATAGTAATAACAACAACAATTTAAATGTATACCATTCTACCATGGTATAAATAATAATAATAGTAATAACAATAATGATAATACTTTAGCTTTATACCATTCTACCATGGTAAAAATAATAGTAATAGTAATAGTAATAATAATAATAATAATTTAGCTTTATACCATTCTACCATGGTATAAATATAATAATAATAATAATAATAATAGTAATAATAATAATAATATTAGTAGTAGTAATAATAATAATAATAATAATTTAGCTACTATAATAATTACTACTATAATAATAATAATAATAATAATAATAATAATAATAATAATAATAATAACTTTATAAAAACAAAACAAGAACTTTATTCCTATCCCCTAACCATGGTATAAATAATAAATTAATAGTAATAAACAATAAATGATTAATACTTTTAGCTTTAATACCATTCTTATTCATGGTATAATAATCTAATAATGTAATAGAATAATAATGCAATGTAATCTAATAATAATATAATAATGTCAATGTAATATAATAATATAAAATAATAATATAATGTAATCTAATAATGTAATAGAATAATAATGCAATGTAATCTAATAATAATATAATAATGTCAATGTAATATAATAATATAAAATAATAATATAATGTAATCTAATAATGTAATAGAATAATAATGCAATGTAATCTAATAATAATATAATAATGTCAATGTAATATAATAATATAAAATAATAATATAATGTAAACAATAATGTAATCTAATTGTATTGTCGAAGGCTTTCATGGCCGGAATAATGGGTTGTTGTAGGTTTTTTCGGGCTGTATGGCCATGGTCTAGAGGCATTCTCTCCTGACGTTTCGCCTGCATCTATGGCAAGCATCCTCAGAGGTAGTGAGGTCTGTTGGAACTAGACAAAAGGGTTTATATATCTGTGGAATGACCAGAGTGGGGCAAAGGACTCTTGTCTGCTGGAGCAAGGTGAGAATGTTTCCACTGACCACCTTGATTAGCATACAATGGGCTGACTGTGCTAATAATAATAATAATAATAATAATAATAATAGTAATAATAATAATAATAATAATAATAATTTAGCTTTATATCAATCCCCAGGGATGCTATGGATTATAATTGAGAGTCTATTGTATTTCTTTTCTCAGTGAGTCTCTTTCTTCACCTGATCTTTCCTTCCTTCCTTCCTTCTTTCTTACCTGCAGCCTCAAAAGCACCTGGGAGTTCATTGCTACCGATAGTCCCGGACCGGTCTGCGTCAAAACGTTTGTAAATTCCCTGCCATGGAAGGATAACAAAGGAGAAAACACACTCGTATCAGTCTTGGGAAGCAGGTCAAACAGGCTAAAAAGCATTCCCTTACTGCCCCAAAGCAAAACAGAAGGGCTATGGGTTGCTGTGAGTTTTCCAGGCTGTCTGGCCATGTTCCAGAAGCATTCTCTCCTGACGTTTCGCCCACATCTATGGCAGGCATCCTCAGAAGTTGTGAGGTCTGCTGGAAACTAGGCAAATGGGGTTTATGTATCTGTGGAATGATGTCCAGGGTGGGAGAAAGAACTCTTGTCTGTCTGGCCATGTTCCAGAAGCATTCTCTCCTGACGTTTCACCCACATCTAGGGCAGGCATCCTCAGAAGTTGTGAGGTCTGTTGGAAACTAGGCAAGTGGGGTTTATGTATCTGTGGAATGATGTCCAGGGTGGAAGAAAGAACTCTTGTCTGTCTGGCCATGTTCCAGAAGCATTCTCTCCTGACGTTTCACCTACATCTATGGCAGGCATCCTCAGAGGTTGTGAGGTCTGCTGGAAACTAGGCAAGTGGGGTTTATGTATCTGTGGAATGATGTCCAGGGTAGGAGAAAGAACTCTTATCTGCTTGAGGCAACTGAGACCACCTTGATTAGCCTTTAATGGCAATGTAGCGTCAAAGCCTGGCTGGTTCCTGCCTGGGGGAATCCTTTGTTGGGAGGTGTTAGCTGGCCACTCAGAAAACAGGGGAATTCCAGCCAGGAGACAGTCAGCTAACACCTTCCAACAAAGGAGTTCCCCCAGGCAGGAAGCAGCCAGGCTTTGTAGCTACAAGACCATTCAATGCTAATGCAACTGGGAGTTGAAGTCCATACACCTGGAGTTCATGCCTGACCTATTGTGTATAACTGCTTTAACTGCTATTGTTGGAAAATAACCTCACACTGGGTTGCTGTGAGTTTTCCAGGCTGTCTGGCCCTATTCCAGAAGCATTCTCTCCTGAGGTTTCGCCCACATCTATGGAAGACATTCTCACAAGTTGTGAGGTCTGTTGGAAACTAGGCAACTGGGGTTTATATATCTGTGGAATAATGTTTTGGGCATTATCCCTCTATTTGAGGAAAGTGGGAATGTTGCAATTGATCAGCTTGATTAGCAATGAATGGCCTTGCAGCTTCAAAGCCTGGCTGGTTGCTGCCTAGGGAATCCTTAGTTGGGAGGTGTTATTTGGCCCTGATTGTTTTCTGTCTGGAATTCCTCTGTTTTCTCAGTGTTGCTCTTTGTTTACTGTCCTGATTTTAGCATTTCTCAATACCAGGAGTCAGATTATAGTTTCCTTTTTTTTTTTGTTGAAATTGTCCACATGCTTCTTGTGGATTTCAATGGCTTCTCTGTGTAGTCGGACATGATGGTTGACAGAGTGGTCCAGCATTTCTGTGTTCTCAGATAATATTCTGTGTCCAGGTTGATTCATCAAGTGCTGTGCTATGGCTGACTTTTCTAACTGAATTATTCCAGACAGGAAACAATCAGGGCCAGCTAACACCTCCCAACAAAGGATTCCCACAGGCAGGAAGCAGCCAGGCTTTGAAGCTACATTTGGCCCACCCTTTGTGTTTGATTTTATCATGTTATTTTGCACTGTTTATTTTATTTTGTTACTTTATGTATTTTGTTGTGATGGAATTTTTCTGTTGTTTTGTGTCTTAACTTTGCTGTATTATTTTTGGGCTTGGCCTCATGTTATTGTAATTCTATTGTAATTTGATATTGTTATGCATTCATATGTTTTATGTAATTATGATGTTGTTTATCGTTTGCGTTTCGGTTTTATTTTTAAAGATTATTAATTATTATTATTATGTTGTTGTTGTTGTTTATTGTTTGCGTTTTCGGTTTTATTCTGCTGTGATTTGTTGTTTGGGCTTGGCCTCACGTGAGCTGCCCCGAGTCCCTTTTGGGGAGATGGTGGCGGGGTATAAATAAAGATTATTATTATTATTAGAAACACAACAAGATGAGTCCACATCAGACACTCTGCTGGCTGTTGAATTGGATCACACGTCGGACACTTCCCAAGTGTCTAGGACTGTGTGATGTATCGGCAAATAATGCCTCAAATAAAGTAATTTTATTGTTATCTATTTTTATTTTGAAATTTACCAGTATCTGTTGCATTTCCCATCCTCAGCTTATACTTGAGTCAATCTGTTTTGGTAAAATTAAGTGCCTTGACTAATATTCGGGTCGGCTTATACTCGAGTATATACGGTAAGTGTTGCACAATTAAACAGGAAATATTACTTTCAAACCAGGAACTGAAAATTGTTCAAATTTTGTTACATACTCTGTGCACGGACCATAATAAAGTTGTTGTTGTTGTTGTTGCATAGTGTTACCTATGCATTGCTTTGTTTACCTGCCACTTCTTGATATTGTTCCAGAGATATTTGAATTCGTCGAACCCGAGTTTCCCGGTTGTGTCGCTCTGCAAAGAGGAAGGTCAAGGGAAAAAAATGGAGACAAAGACACATACATTTCAACATAGACCAGGCCTGGGCAAACTTGGGCCCTCCGGGTGTTTTGGACTCAACTCCCACAATTCCTAACAGCCGGTAGGCTGTTAGGAATTGTGGGAGTTGGAGTCCAAAACACCTGGAGGGCCCAAGTTTGCCCAGGCCTGGTAGAGACCCATATAGTACAGTTCAACTGCCTTGAACTGGACCAGGCGTGAAAGCATTGGGCAAAACCTGGCTCTCAAAAGTCCCAAAGCAGCCAAAGGATACGTCCATGACGGCCACCATGCTGCGACAGGTATCAATCCCAAACCCATCTGTCTTCAGGTCAGGATCTAGAAAGAAAACAAAGCGAGCTGAGTCTTTGTTGGGACATTATTATTATTATTATTATTATTATTATTATTATTATTATTATTAGAAACACAACAAGATGAGTCCACAGCAGACAAGATCACTCTGCTGGCTGTTGTATTGGATCACACATCAGACACTTCCATCATTATTATTATTATTATTATTATTATTATTATTATAGATGAGTCCACAGAAGACAAGACACTCTGCTGGCTGTTGTATGGATCACAGGTCGGACACTTCCCAAGTGTCTAGGACTGTGTGATATATCGGCGAATAATGTGTGCAGATCCCAGTAGGGTGGCCTTCTGCAGCTGGCAGATGGTAATTTTGTCAGCGCCAATTGTGTTTAAGTGCAGGCCAAGGTCTTTAGGCACTGCACCCAGTGTGCCAATCACCACTGGGACCACCTTGACTGGCTTGTGCCAGAGTCTTGTTGTTGTTGTTCCCTCAAACATTACCTCTGTCCAATTAAAACCCTATCACTGTCCAATCGAAACTCATCTCTGTCCAATCAAAACCCTATCACTGTCCAACCGAAACATCATATCTGTCAAATTGAAACCCTATTTATGTCCAATCCAAATGTTATTTTTGTTTAATTGAAACACTATCACCGTTCAATGGAAACCTAATCTGCGTTCAATCGAAACCCAATCTCCATTTAATCAAAGCACTGTCCTTATTTCTATGTAACAATCTCTGAAACCCTGTCTCTATCCAATCCAAACCCTGCTTCCATTCGATTGGGCAGTGATAGGGTTTTGATTGGACAGAGATAAGATTTGAGGAAATAATAATTATTATTATTATTGTTATTATTATTTACTGTATTTCTATACCGCCCTTCTCAGACCTCAGGCGACTCAGGGCAGTTTAAGACGCAATGATTCGATGCCCAATGCACCATAAAATTATTATTTTATTATAATAGTAATAATAATAGGTTGTCGTAGGTTTTTTCGGGCTATATGGCCATGTTGTAGAGGCATTCTCTCCTGACGTTTCGCCTGCATCTATGGCAAGCATCCTCAGAGGTAGTGAGGTCTGTCGGAACTAGGAAAAAGGGTTTATGTATCTGTGGAATGACCTTTGCAACCCGAAAGACAGTTGCATTTGTCAAGTAGGAAAATTAAGTTCCACCTATGTGAGGGGAGACTAATTTAACTAATTTACGAGGCCATAAAAAGACTCCAGCAAAAGGCATGCAGGGAATGCGGAAATACTTCATCAGCATCGCAGATGGACGATGAAAGCGACAGCTCCCCTGGCAGCCAGAAAAAAGTTAAATAGCCTCTGACTGTCTGTCTATATCTGTTGTGTGTCTTTGGCATTGAATGTTTGCCATATATGTGTACATTGGGGGGAGATTGGCAGGAAAGGTGTACAAAAGGAAGTGGTGGTGGGAAAAAGTCAGTAGTGTCTTTCTTGGCTGCAGAGATACAAGCAATATATCAATTGCAAAGCAAAAACGGCATGTGAGTGGTTATTTAATATTGCTATATAGATCAGTTTCCTTATTAGAACTTGTTGCTTCACAAGTTCCAATACATGGCTTCTAGAACCCTCTACTGGCTTCAAAATGTCACAGAGAAATAATTGATTCAACCAGGATGATTCAGTCAGGATGCCACGGAGGGAATTTGTGATGTCTTCATGCCATCAGAAATTGAGTCCTGACTCTTGACCTTGAAGGAGCTGGGGGTGGTGACAGCCAACAGGGAGCTCTGGCGTGGGCTGGTCCATGAGGTTGCAAAGAGTTGGAGTGAATGAGTGAATGAATAAACAACAACATCTCTGAAAGCCTGTCTCTATCCAATCCAAACCCTGCTTCCATTCAATTGGAACCCAATCTCCATTCAATCGAAGCCCTATTTCAATCAAAACACTGTCTCTATTTACATCAAAACCCTATCTCCGTTCAATCTAAACCTTGTCTCTATTTACATATTGAAACCCTCTCTCTGTTCAATCCAAACTCTGTCTCTGTGTAACCAAGACCTTCTTTCTGTCCAATCTGAACTGTATCGATGTTCAATCCCTATCAATGTTCAATAGGAACCTTACGTCTGGTCACCACTTTGTTGAGGATGTTCATCAGCTCCGTCGCGCTCACTTCCATATCCTGCAAAGACAACAAAACAATGAGGGCAACCTGACCTATCTTCCAAATATGATGGAATACAACTCCCACAATCCTGGCTGGGGGGTTAGGGTATCCATAACTCAACACAACTGGATTATTTCCGGTTATATAGCAGAGAGAAAATAAAAAATCCCATCTGGCTTTACTTAGTAGCTCCATTATAATCTAGCTATATTTCTTCTTGCTCTTCACTATGGCCAGGTTGACCATGGCGAAGTCTACACGGTCATAATATCCAGTTCCCGAATCCAGATTACCTGCTTTAAACTGGATTATATGCATCTACACCAGTGTTTCTCAACCTTCCTAATGCCGCGACCCCTTAATACAGTTCTGCATGTTGCGGTGACCCCCCAAACGTAAAATTATTTTCGTTGCTACTTCACAACTATAATTTTGCTCCTGTTATGAATCGTCATGTAAATATCTGATATGCAGGATGTATTTTCATTCACTGGACCACATTTGGCGCAAAGACCCGATACGCCCAAATTTGAATACTAGTGGGGTTGCGGGGGTTGATTTTTTTCATTTGGGAGTTGTAGTTGCTGGGATTTATAGTACACCTACAATCAAAAAGTCTTCTGAACTCCACCAACGATGGAATTGAACCAAACTTGGCACACAGAACTCCCATGACCAACAGAAAACACTGGAAGGGTTTGGTGGGCATTGACCTTGAGTTTGGGAGTTGTAGTTCACATTATTACATTTGGGCATATTGAGTATTCCTGTCAAGTTTGGTCCAGATCCATCGTTTGAGAAGCCTCCACCATGTTCCGGGGCAGAGAGTTCCACTGCTGAACGGCTCTCACAGTCAGGGAGTTCTTCCTCATGTTCAGATGGAATCTCCTTTCTTGTAGTTTGAATTGTTTTGATAATTTTTTTAATTGTATTTTGATATTTGTTATGGCATCGAATCGCTGCCGACTGTGAATCGCCTTGAGTCGGCTCTGGCTTTATAACTTGTGCCAGAATATATTATTATTATTATTATTATTATTATTATTATTATTATTATTATTGGCATGTCTTCCCTTTAGTGGAGTTTAAATATAGCCAGGGCTCACCTCTCCTGCCAGCTGCGTGAAGAGCCTCCGGAATTGCCGCACTTCCTCGCTTTCGTTGGATTCGACTTGGGAAAAGTGGCTGCGAGGAGGCTGAGAAGAGAGACACAATCTTTAAATAATATAATGGAGTATAATGGGTTTATTTTCCATGGAGGTTCAGAGCCAAAGACCTCCCTCCCCCCAAAAATGGGGAAACCGAAAATAAAAATACTATTTTTTAAAACCCAAGAGAACACTTGCTCTGAGAAGCCTTAGGTCAGGGGTCTGCAAACTTTGACTATCGTTTGTTGTTGTTGTTGTTGTTGTTGCATGCCTTCAAGTCATTTCAAAATCCGGGTGATCCCAAGGTAACCTTCTCACAGTTTTCCGGACAAGATTTATCCCAAGCGGTTTGCCTTTGGCCCCTTCTACACTGCCATATAATCCAGATTATCAAAGCAGATAATCCACATTATCTGCTTTGATCTGGATTGTATGAGTCCACACTGCCATAGAATCCAGTTCAAAGCAGATAATTTAGACTTTATATGGCAGTGTAGAAGGGGCCTAAGACATACTTTCTGAATTCCTTCCCTCTTTTTCCTTCCTACCTTTCTCTTTTTTCTTCACTCCTCCACCCCTCATTCACTCTCTCCTTCCATCCTTCTTCTACTTCTCCTTCCCTCTCTTTTTCCTTTCTATCCCTCTTTTTTTTTCCTTCCTTCCTTCCTTCCTTCCTTCCTTCCTTCCTTCCTTCCTTCCTTCCTTCCTTCCTTCCTTCCTTCCTTCTCTTCTTCTTCCTTTCCTTCTCCCCACCTTTTCTTTCCCTTTCTAGGTGGAAAGTGGTGGTGGCTTTCATTCTCATTTCCTCCTCCTTCTTTCTTCCTTCCTCTTTTCCTTCCTTCTTTCTCTTTCTTCTTCACTCCTCCACCCCTCATTCCCTCTCTCTTTCCATCCTTCTACTTCTCCTTCCCTTCTTCCTTCCTTCCTTCCTTCCTTCCTTCCTTTCTTCTTCACTCCACCCTCATTCCCTCTCTCCTTCCATCCATTCATCCTTCCATCCTTCTTCTACGTCTCCTTCCATCTTTTTTCTTCACTCCTCTACCCTCATTCCCTCTCTCCTTCCATCCATTCATCCTTCCATCCTTCTTCTACTTCTCCTTCCCTCTCTTTTTCCTTCCTTCCTTCCTTCCTTCCTTCCTCTTTCTTCCTCACTCCTCCACCCCTCATTCCCTCTCTCCTTCCATCCATTCATCCTTCCATCCTTCTTCTACTCCTCCTTCCCTCTCTTTCTTCACTCCTCTACCCTCATTCCTCTCTCCTTCCATCCATTCATCCTTCCATCCTTCTTCTACTCCCTTCCATCTTTTTTCTTCTCTCTCCTTTCCTCTTCTTCCTCCTCTCCTTCCTCCTCTTCTCTTCTACTTCTTCTTTCCTTCCTTCCTTCCCATTCCTTCCCTCCTTTCTTCTTCCTCCTTCTCTTTTTCCTTCCTTCCTTCCTTCCTTCCTTCCTTCCTTTCTTCTTCACTCCACCCTCATTCCCTCTCTCCTTCCATCCATTCATCCTTCCATCCTTCTTCTACGTCTCCTTCCATCTTTTTTCTTCACTCCTCTACCCTCATTCCCTCTCTCCTTCCATCCATTCATCCTTCCATCCTTCTTCTACTTCTCCTTCCCTCTCTTTTTCCTTCCTTCCTTCCTTCCTTCCTTCCTTCCTCTTTCTTCCTTCCTTCTTCACTCCACCCTTATTCCTTCTCCCACCGGAACCTAATGGTGCTACTTCTCCTTCCATCTGTGTGTTGTACATATACACAGCAGGAATGTGTCAATTTCGTCATGCCGCTGAAGTGCATCAGCTCTTTATCCTTCCTTTCCCTCCTTCTTTCCTTCCATCCATTCAGCCTTCTCTTCATCCCTTCCTTCCTTCTCTTTTTTCCTTCTTCCTTCCCTTCCTTCTTCCTTTCTCTTCCTCTCCACTTCCCTCTTTTCCTGTCATCCTTTTGTCTACTTCTCCTTCCACTCTGTTATCTACCTACCCGTCCTTTCTCTTTCTTCTGCACTCCTCCACCCTCATTCCCTCTCTCCTTCCATCCTTCTTATTCCCCTCCATTGTGTCCTTCCTTCCTTCCTGCCTCTTTGCTCATCACTCCTTCACACCCATCAGTGACATAGCGACTTCAATAACATTAAGACTGCCATGCTATCTACTCCTCCTTCCCTCTTTTCCTTCCTTCCCTCCTCTCTTTCTTTTTCTTTCTTCTTTCTCTTCCCTTTCTTTTCATTCTTTCCTTGCCACTTCTCCTATCTTTCTCCCTGCCTTCTCCCTCCCTCCCTTTTCTTTTCATTCTTTTCCTCTCCTCTTTCTCTTCCTTCATTCCTCCCCTTCTCCTTTCCTTCCCATTTCCCTTATTTCTTTCTCTTCCCTTTCTTCTTTGCCTCTTCTCATATCTTACTCCGGACCTTTCGTTTCTCTTCCTTCCTTCCCTCCTTGAGCAAAAACTTCTAAAACATATTAGGATGCAATGAAGAAATTCCAATAAAACCATTCCTGCAGGTGACTTACCGGAGGCTCCGGGTTGTATTGAGCTGCTGCTTCACTATTATGTCAATCAAAGGAGACAAAACAAAGAAATATATTATCAAAGACGTGATCTTTCTGAACCAGCTGCCCCGTTTCCCAGCATTAGATGCATCTACATTGTAGAATGAGTGCAGTTTGATACCACTTTAACTATGGAACCCACTCCAGGGAGTTGTAGTTTTACGAGGCATTGAGCCATTCAGGTCTCACCAAACTACAAATCCCAGAATTTCCATAGTCTCGTGCTCTGATTGTGTTTTTCCTGCATGGCAGAATAGGGTTGGTCTAGATGGTCCTTATGGTCTCTTCCAACTCTATCATCCAATGATTCTTTATCTATATCTATATCAATATGTATCATCGAATCACAGAGATGGAAGGGATCCCAAAAGCCATCTAGTCCAACTTCCTGTACCTATATATTTATGTATCAATATCTATGTCAATTTCAATACCTATGATCAAATTGCATAGTTGGGACCTCAAAGGCCATCTAGTCCAACTCCCTATTCTGATGTATGTATGTATCTATATCAATATCTATCATCAAATCACGGAATTGGGATCCATAAGGCCCTCCAGTCCAACTCCCTGTATCTGTATATTTATGTATCTATATCAATGTCTATATCGATCATCAAATCACAGAATTGGGATTCCAAAGGCCATCCAATCCCACTCCCTGCATGTATATATTTATGTATCTATAGCAATCTATCATCAAATCACAGTTGGAAGGGATCCCAAAGGCCATCTAGTCCAACTTCCTGCATCTATAAATTTATGGATCAATATCTATGTCAATATCAATATGTATCATCAAATCACAAAGTTGGGACCCTAAAGGCAATCTAGTCCAACTCCCTGTTTTGATGTAAATCTATATCAATATCATCGAATCACAGAACTAGAAAGGATCCCAAAGGCCATCTAGCCCAAACCTCTGTTTCAATGTGTGTGTATGTATGTGTGTGTGTGTGTGTGTGTGTATATATATATATCTCACTATCATCATCAAATCACAGTTGGAAGGGATCCCAAAGGCCATCTAGCCCTACTTCCTTTATCTGTATATTTATGTATCTATGTCAATATCAATATCTATCATCAAATCATAAAGTTGGGACCTCAAAGGTCATCTAGTCCAACTCCCTATTTTGATGTATGTTTGTATCTATATCAATATCTATATCTATCATCAAATCACAGAACTGAGATCCCAAAGGCCATCCAATCCCACTCCCTGCATTTATATATTTATGTATCTATAGTAATCTATCATCGAATCACAGTTGGAAGGGACCCCAAAGGCCATGTAGTCCAACTCCTTATATCTCTATATGTATCTATATCAATATCTTTAGCTATCTATCACAAAGTTGGGACCCCAAAGGCCATCTACTCCAGACCTCTGTTTCAATGTATATATATCTATATCTATATCAATATCTATCATCGAATCACAGAGTTGGAAGGGATCCCAAAGGCCATCTAGTCCAACTTCCTGTACCTATATTTTAATGTATCAATATCTATACCAATATCTATATCTATCATCAAATCACAGAATTGGGTATAACTATATTGGGTATAACTATCATAGAGTCACGAAGTTGGGATTCCAAAGGCCATCTAGTCCAACCCCCTGTATCTATATATTCATGTATCTAGATCAATATCTCAATCGATCTAGCATTGAATCGCAGAGTTGGTAGAGAACCCAAAGGCCATCTAGTCCAACTTCCTGTTATCTTTATCTATATAAATAAAAATGTAATGTTCGTTTGTGGGATTCACAGAACTCAAAAACCACTCGACGAATTGACACCAAATTTGGAAACAAGACACCTAACAACCCAATGTATGTCCTTCACTAAAAAAAATTAATTTTTTTCCATTTGGGAGTTGTAGTTGCTGGGATTTATAGTTCGTCTACAATAAAAGAGCATTCTGAATCCCTCCAACGATGGAATTGACCCAAACTTGGCACACAGTTCTCCCATGACCAGCAGAAAATACTGGAAGGGTTTGGTGGGCAGTGTCCTTTGGTTTTGGAGTTGTAGTTCACCTACATCCAGAGAGCACTGTGGACTCAAACAATGATGGATCTGGACCAAACTCTACAAGAATACTCAATATGCCCAAATGTGAACACTGGTGGAGTTTGGGGAAAATAGAATCTTGACATTTGGGAGTTGTAGTTGCTGGGATTTATAGTTCACCTACAATCACAGAGCATTCCGAACCCCACCAACGATAGAATTGGGCCAAACCTCCCACACAGAACCCCCATGTGGGCCACAGCAACACGTGGCAAGGGATAGATAGTATTTATCTATATCTATCTACCTTTGAATCACAAAATTGGGCTCCCAAAGGCCATCTAGTCCAACTCCCTGTTTCGATGTATGTATGTGTCTATATCTGTATCTATAATCAAATCACAGAGTCAGAAGGGATCCCAAAAGTCATCTAGTCCAACTCTCTGTATCTCTATATGCATCTATATCTATCTACAATTGAATCACAAAGTTGGGCTCCCAAAGGCCATCTAGTCCAATGCCCTGTTTCAATGAATGTATGTATATATGTATCAATATTAGTATCTATCATCAAAACATGGAGTTGGAAGAGATCCCAAAGGCCATCTAGTCCAACTTCCTGTATTTCTATATGTATCTATATCTATCTAGTATCGAATCACAAAGTTGGGTTCCCAAAGGCCATCTAGTCCAATGCCCTGTTTCAATGTATGTATGTATGTATGTATGTATGTATGTATGTATCAATATCAGTATCTATCATTGAATCATTGAATTGGAAGAGATCCCAAAGGCCACCTAGTCCAACGCCCTGTTCATTGAATGTATGTATGTATCAATATCAATATCTATTATTGAATCACTGAGTTGGAAGAGATCCCAAAGGCCATCTAGTCCAACTCCTTACATTACTATATGCATCTATATCAAAATATTTATCTATCTATCATTGAATCACAAAGTTGGAACCCCAAAGGCCATCCAGTCCAACGCCCTGTCTCGATGTATGTATATATGCAGTCGTGCATTGGGCCTGTGGGGATGTCTGTCAACAGGCTATCTGAATGCCCAACGGGATGCCGGGGTGCCTCGGCTGAGAGGCCCTATAGATTTCCCTACACAAAGTCTTTAGAAGCTTAGAAAGTTTAACAAGGTTCGTTATTGTTTGATAAAATCTTCAAAACACGGAATAAACACTCTATAACTTTGGAAAATTGGTAACTTCTTCTATCTGCCCATGAAGCAACGGCTTCATAAACTGATCCTTTCTTCTTTAAGGGAAATCCTCTGACCCCTCCCTGGGCAATCTCTTTACTTTGTTTGGCATGTGCCCTACTCCCGGTTCCAATCTGCGTTATGGGTGACCCAAGTAGACCTTACCAGGCAAAGTCCAAGTTGAAGGAAGTCCTTTACTTTCCAGAGAAGGCTGTCTGTAGCTATATTCAAACCCCTGGCACAGCCGTGCCAGAACAGTATGTATATCTGTCCATCAAAGAATCAGAGTCGGAAGGGATCCCAAAGGCCATCTAGTCCCACTCCCTGTATGTACATTATCAATATATAGTTCAAGAGGTGTCCAAATGCATTGTAGATGCACTCCCAAGAAAGCATGCATATTCCTCCAATGATCAATAACATACACTTACCTGATGGCGCTGATGACTCCGCCCAGGATGCCCATGGCTCCGCCCCCTCCACCACCACCGCCTCCTCCTCCGCCGCCGCCACTCAAAAACCCGCCAATCACATTGCCGATGTTGATGTTCCCGCCTCCGCCGCCGCCTCCTCCTCCTCCGCCTCCAAGGAAGTTTTTCACCAGGAACATCTCTAGACTCTTAAAAGTTTCAAAGTTGGCACAGATGGTCTAAAAGGAAATAAAAGATGATCCAACTGCAACATCCATTTACTATACCTGCACCTTGGGGTGCATCTACACTGCAGAGTTAAGGCAGTTTGAGCCCACTCCCAGGACTCCTATGGAATCCTGGGAGGTGTAGTTTGCAAGAGATGGCGAAAAATGTTGGGGAACTGCATCTCCCAGGATCCCATAGCTCTAAGTTATAGAAACTGTGATCAAACTGCATTAATTCGACAGTGCAGATGCTTTGGACACATAGAAATATTGCATTTTAAGTAATGTTACAAACACCCAATGTACTATTGTCTATTATTATTACATTTATATTTATAATATATATATTATATAAGAAAAGAAGGAAAAGAAAAAGGAGAGAGGAAAAAAAGAAAGAGGAAGGAGGAGGAGAAAGAAGAAGAGGAAGGGGGAGGGAAAAAAGAAAGAAAGAGGGGGAGAAGAAAAAGAGGAAGAAGGGAAAGAAGAAGAAGGAAGGAGGAAAGGAAGGAAAAGGAAAAGAAAAAGGGGGAAGAAAGAGAAAAAGAGGAAAGAAAGGGGGAAGGTGAAAGAAGGTGGGGGGAAATGGAAGGAAAAAGGAGAAATGGAGAAAGGAAGGGAAGGATAAGAAAGGAGGAAATAAGGAGAATACTCTCTAGCGAGGAAAAAGAATAATATCAGACTGAAGAAAAAACAAAAACATTGCAGAGTGTTGATGTTCCCTGAATCGACGAAGGAGGAAGCGGGAAAAAAAGCCAAGAGTGGGAACGAAAACGATAGTTGGTTAAAAATTTGAAAAGTGTGCTAAGAAAGTGAATACATACCAGTACCTTTAATATAATAACATTGAGAACTGACAAGTTAGGGCCGTTGAAACTACCCCTTGATCCTTTGTACTGGGGTTTTGAAGTATAAATGTGAAGGGGATCTCCCGTCCAATAGCTCTAGTTATGAAACTTGATCAAACGGCTTAATTCAAACATGGCGTGCTTTCACAGATTATTGCTTTATAATTTTACAACACCCATTACCTTGTCTATTATTTACTTATTTTTAGGATACTATCAATTAATCATACATCAATTAAAAAACCCCAGAACTTATTGTATATTTATTATTATTATATATTTATAATTATTTTAGTTTTTACCCAAGAAGTAAACACTGGATTGCATATTATTAATATTCTATAATCATTTATCTGATTTTATTTTATACCCCCTTTTTCCGCCCAGGGAGTATGAGAATAGTTTTTATATGATTTTTTATATTTTAATTATAGTTATTACCCCGCTTTATCTCTCCCCAAGGATTATTGTTATTATATATATTATATTATATTTATATTTATACCCCACTTTATCTCTCCCAAAGGAGACTATTATTATTATATTTATAATATATATATTATATTTATATTTATACCCTGCTTTATCTCTCCCAAAGGAGACTATTATTATTATATTTATATATTATATATTATATTATATTTATATTTATACCCCACTTTATCTCTCCCAAAGGAGACTATTATTATTATAATTATATATTATATATTATATTATATTTATATTTATACCCCACTTTATCTCTCCCAAAGGAGACTATTATTATTATTTTATATATTATATCTGTATTTTTACCTGCTTTTATCCTCCCACAGAGACTGTCCAGTGTGTATTTATTTCTCTTGTTAGGTGAATGTATTAATTTAGATTATATTAATCCCACAACAGTCTATCTCTCCCAAGACTAGTACGGATTTTATTTTATTCAAGATCGGGAGGATACTTTATTTTTAGATTTATACCCCCTTTATCTCTCCCGAGTCCTATTAGTTATTATTATTATTATTTTATTTATTTATTATATTTATATTATACCCTTTATCTCTCCCAAAGGAGACTGTTTGTAGCTAACAATAAAAGGATTTATATAGAATTAGTATTTATACCCACCGCTTGATTGTTTGCGCGAGACTATTATTATTATTTTATAAGTATCACGATGTATTATTTTTTTTTATACCCCCTTTATTCTCTCCCAAATGGGGACATGATTTTATTTATATGGTAAATCATTTATTCTTGATTTATATTCACCCAATGACCACTATTATCTATCACCCAAGGACGACATTATTTTACATATTTATTTCTATTATCTTTTTAGTTTTTGATTACCCCACTTTACTTCTCCCAATGGCTATTAATTTTATGTATGGTAATAGTATGTTTATTTTATCCGTCCTTATCTCCTCCAAGGAGCCCTTATCGGATCTTTATTATTTAGTTTATTCTGTTGTGGGGTGGATGTGAAGCGAGTTGTTCCCCCACTTTATCTCTCCCAATTGAGACTATTTTTAGTATTTATAGATATTTTAGACACTATTATACCCCCTTTTCTCTCCCAACCAGGGGTTTAGTGTATAGATAGATGCACACATGTGTTATATTAATAGTGGTACCCGCTGATCTCCCCGAGACGATAGGTGTATAGATAGGGGTATGATTGTGCGCATAGGTCGTTCCGGTATCGCCGTGGGTTGCAGGTTCGATATCTATCGTAGGATGGCGTTAGATGCGCGCGGGGGGGAGTGTTCGCTGTGGAGATTATACGCGATGGTATGTATTTATGTGCTACCTACTGTCAACGGCTGGCGATTGTCTATGGGGGAGGCTCGGATGACTGGCGAGGCGGCGCGGTGTTCGGCTAAGTAGTGTGAGTTGCGTATTAGGCTTATATGTCCGGGAGAGTCTGGGGTGAATGAGTCTCATGGTAAGGATTAAGCTGGCTGTGAATCATAGAGACGAGAGTCGGCGAGGAAGAGGTCTAGCAAGCGAGTGGGCCCAGATTAGCACGTGGAGCGGGTAAGCTAAGGTAGTGATTGGTGGTGACTCTGGCTGAGAGGGTTATATAATAATAATAACCTTATGCATTTTGTACCCAAGCTACTAATAAATAATAATAATATATGAAATTATAAATAATATAAATAATAATATATAGTATAATATTAGTATTAATAATAATAATTTAAAAATATACAAAATCCAGCATATAGATCTCATTTACTGTGACATACTATGGTGTAAGAATAATAATAATAATAAATATATAGTATAATATTAATAATATAAATAATATACAAAATCCAGCATATAGATCTCGTTTACTATGACATACTGTGGTGTCAGTATAATAATAATAATAATATATAGTATATTAATAATAATAATAATAATAATAATAATAATATAAATAATATACAAAATCCAGCATATAGCTCTCATTTACTGTGACATACTGTGGTGTCAGAATAATAATAATAATAATAATAATAATAATACAGTATAATAATAATGATAATAATAATAATATACAAAATCCAGCATATAGATTTCGTTTACTGTGATATACTGTAAACGAAATTTTACTGACATACTGTGGTGTCAGTAAAATAATAATAATAATAATAATAACCTTATGAATTTTGTACCCAGGCTATTAATATATAATAATAATATATGAAATTATAAATAATAATATAAATAATAATATATAGTATAACATAAATAATAATAATATACAAAATCCAGCATATAGATCTCGTTTACTGTGACATACTGTGGTGTCAGAATAATAATAATAATAATAATAATAATAATATAGTATAATATTAATATTAATAATAATAAATAATATACAAAATCCAGCACATAGTTCTCATTTACTGTGACATACTGTGGTGTCAGTAAAATAATAATAATAATAATAATAATAATAATAATAATAACCTTATGCATTTTGTACCCGTTACTAATAAATAATAATAATATATGAATTATAAATAATAATATAAATAATCATAAAAATTAAAAATAATATACAAAATCCAGCATATAGATCTAGTTTACTGTGACATACTGTGGTGTCAGTATAATAATAATAATAATAATAATATACTATAATATTATTAATAATAATATAAATAATAAAAATAATATACAAAATCCAGCATATAGATCCCGTTTACTGTGACATACTGTGGTGTCAGTATAATAATAATAATAATAATAATAATAATAATAATAAAGTATAATATTATTATTAATAATATAAATAATAATAAGATATAGTATATTGTTATTATTATTAATAATAATATAAATAATAAATATAATATACAAAATCCAGCATATAGATCTCATTTACTGTGACATACTGTGGTGTCAGTATAATAATAATAATAATAATATAGCAAAATATTATTATTAATAATATAAATAATATACAATATCAAGGATATAGATCTCATTTACTGTGACATACTGTAGTGTCAGTATAATAATAATAATATAAAGTATAATATTAATAATAATATAAATAATTTAAATAATATACAAAATCCAGCATATAGATCTCATTTACTGTGACATACTGTGGTGTCGGTATAATAATAATAATAACCTTATGCATTTTGTACCCAAGCTACAAATAAATAATAATAATATATGAAATTATAAATAATAATATAAATAATATAAATAATAATACATAGTATAATAATAATAATATACAAAATCCAGCAAATAGATCTAGTTTATTGTGACATCCTGTGGTGTCAGTATAATAATTATATATATATATATATATATATATATATATATATATACTATAATATTATTAATAATAATAATAGATCTAGTTTTATGTGACATACTGTAGTGTCAGTATAATAATAATAATAATAATAATAATAACAATAATAACCTTATGCATTTTGTACCCTAGCTAATAATAAATAATAATAATATATGAAATTATAAATAATATAAATAATAATAATAATAATAATAATAAATAATATACAAAATCCAGCATATAGATCTAGTTTACTGTGTCATACTGTGGTGTCAGTATAATAATAATAATAATAATAATAATAACAACCTTAGGCATTTTGTACACAAGTTACTAATAAATAATAATAATATATGAATTATAAATAATAATATAAATAATAATAATAATAAATAATATACAAAATCCAGCATATAGATCTAGTTTACTATGACATACTGTGGTGTCAGTATAATAATAATTATATATATATATATATATATATACACATACACACACACATATATATATTATATACTATAATATTATTATTAATAATAATAGATCTAGTTTTATGTGATATACTGTGGTGTCAGTATAATAATAATAATAATAACAATAATAACCTTACGCATTTTGTACCCTAGCTACTAATAAACAATAATAATATATGAAATAAATAAATAATAATAATATACAAAATCTAGCATATAGATCTAGTTTACTGTATCATATTGTGGTGCCTGTAAAATAATAATAATAATAATAATAATAATAATAATAATAATAATAATGGATCTCATAGGTGGAATTTCAGAGCCTCGTGTTTAAAGCACAAGTGTTGCAAGACAAGGAAATCATGCAGTGTAATTACAATGAATGTCTCTCCCACACACAAAGAAAACACAAGTGTTTGCACACAGTTTGCATTGAGCTTTACTTTGGAACATGTCCATCGAAGCAGAAAACTAGGAATGAATAGGAACAGGTGGTTTAGTCGGTTGGGAGGGGAAAAAAGCAATAACAATAATACTAATAAGCTGGCATTAATATGCGGTTGGGAAAGAACAACCGTAATTAGAAACCAGTGTAAATGCACCCTTTATTCTAACCCCAAAGGGGGTTCTGGCATTTGGAAGTAAGATGCTTCCAATTCCCTAATTGCTTTTTATTGGCAACAGATTCCTCTCTGTTTGGCCAGTTCCTCGTTCCAAAATTGTACGGCAACTTTGCAGAAAAAACTGGGATCTGCAGTTTTTTTTCCTGTAGGATTCTCTGCCAAGGATCCATCTACACTGGACAACAATAATAAAACTTTATTATATTCCGCCCTATCTCACCAGGGGGACTCACTGCAGTTTGATACCACTCGAGCTGCCCTGACTCACTGCTCTGGATTCCTGGGAGTTGTCGTTTTGCAAGGCCTCTGGAGCCTTTCTGCAAAACGGTGCAAATTGCAAATCCCAGGGATCCATAGCACTGATTCATGGTCATTCAAGGGATATGAATCTGCATCGATTCTACAATGTGTAGATCCTGCTTATGGTGATCCAAAGTAGATTCAAGGTAGTAATAATGTAGTAATGCTAAGTCATCCTGGGAGTTGTAGTTTGGTGGAGAGAGAAAGCTGGGTATAGGTAATAGTAACTCTATTATTAATAATAATTCTATTAATAGTAATAGTAATAATAATAATCTATTAATAGAGTAATAGTAATTATAATAATTATAATAATAATTCTAGTAATTATGCTATTGATCACAATTATAATTCTATTAATAATAATTCCAAAATGACAACTCCCAGGATTCCATAGCCTTGAACCATGGCAGCCCAAGCGGTGCCAAAACCACATTAGCTCTACAGTGTAGATGCCCCCTTTAAGATCTCTCACAATGGGCGTGTTAGATCAAAAAAGATCCAGGAAGAGGAAGAAGAAGGGAAGGAAGGAGCGGAAGCAGTGGAAAAAATACATGGGGGCAATCCCTTAGAAGAACTGTATACAGTGGATCCCATGGAGATCCAGTTGGTCCTGTGGAGATCCAGTTGGTCCCATGGAGATCCTGTGGAGATCCAGTTGTGCTGGAGTAAAAAGGGGGACTATCTATTTGAAACGTGATCCAGTATATCCATGGGTTTCCTTGGAAAAAGAACTGGATCCAATGGACCATGTGGAGATCCGGTGGATCCCATATAGAACCAGTAGACCTGGGGCAAAAAGGAAGGGGGGCAAAGAATTCTTTGAAACTCCAATAGATCTGGCTTCGTTGAAAAAAAGGACAGGATCCAGCTGACCTATGGAAATCAAGTGCATCCCACGAAGATCATGCAGATCTTGTCAAGATCCTGTGGATCTGGAGCAAAAGGGGGCGACATCTCTTTGAAACTTGATCCCGTGGATTTCATTGAAAAGAAGAACTGGATGCAGTGGACTCCCGTAGAAATCCTGCGGATCATATAGATCCAGTAGGTCTGGAGCGAAATGGGAGGAACCAGCAGAGGGGTACGAAGATCTCTTTGAAACTTGGTCCAGTAGATCCGGCTTCATTATTTATTTATTTACATTATTTCTATCCCGCCCATTTCAGCCCGAAGGCGACTCAGGGCGGTATACACAGTCAGTCATTAGAAAAAATGAACTGGATCCAGTTGACCCATGGAGATCCAGTGGATCCCATGTGGGTACAGAAGAGTCGGGAGTGAAAGGGAGGCACCAGTAGAGGGGGAACAGAGATCTCTCTTGAAAGTTTGATCCAGGTAGTAGACCCCCGTTGGGATCCAGTGTATCCACTAGATCTCGAGCGAAAAGGGAGGAAAAGATCTCTTAGAAACTTGGCACGGAGTTTTATAGCGGAAAGTAGCAACGGGGAAGAGAATAAGGGATCCAGTGGACCCACTAGATCTTGAGCGAAAAGGGAGGAAAAGATCTCTTAGGAACTTGGCACGGAGTTTTACAGTGGAAAGTAGCAACGGGGAGGGGGGGAAGAGAATAAGGGATCCAGTGGATCCACTAGATCTTGAGCGAAAAGGGAGGAAAAGATCTCTTAGAAACTTGGCACGGAGTTTTATAGCGGAAAGTAGCAACGGGGAAGAGAATAAGGGATCCAGTGGACCCACTAGATCTTGAGCGAAAAGGGAGGAAAAGATCTCTTAGGAACTTGGCACGGAGTTTTATAGCGGAAAGTAGCAACGGGGAAGAGAATAAGGGATCCAGTGGACCCACTAGATCTTGAGCGAAAAGGGAAGAAAAGATCACTTAGGAACTTGGCACGGAGTTTTACAGTGGAAAGTAGCAACGGGGAGGGGGGGGAGAGAATAAGGGATCCAGTGGATCCACTAGATCTTGAGCGAAAAGGGAGGAAAAGATCTCTTAGAAACTTGGCACGGAGTTTTATAGCGGAAAGTAGCAACGGGGAAGAGAATAAGGGATCCAGTGGACCCACTAGATCTTGAGCGAAAAGGGAAGAAAAGATCACTTAGGAACTTGGCACGGAGTTTTACAGTGGAAAGTAGCAACGGGGAGGGGGGGAGAGAATAAGGGATCCAGTGGATCCACTAGATCTTGAGCGAAAAGGGAGGAAAAGATCTCTTAGAAACTTGGCACGGAGTTTTATAGCGGAAAGTAGCAACGGGGAAGAGAATAAGGGATCCAGTGGATCCACTAGATCTTGAGCGAAAAGGGAGGATAAGATCTCTTAGGAACTTGGCACGGAGTTTTATAGCGGAAAGTAGCAACGTGGAGGGGGGGAGAGAATAAAGATCCCACCAAGAGGCCCCCGAAGTGGATGGGAAAAAAAGGATCCTGATGGGATCCCTATTTTGAAATATATATGAAAATAATCATAAAAGGGAAGGAATAAGATCCCATGATCTCTTAAAAAAAATAAGGGAAGGGAGACTTGAATTGGGGCCCAGCAGAGGAAGTGGATCCCTTCCTTCCTTCTTCTACTCTCAAGCCATGGGAGGGAATCCCTTAGGAGATCTATAGATCCCAACTGGAGGAGAGGGAAAATGTGGTTAAGGGTGTGGGATCTTTCCCTTTCCCCCGCTTAGCTTACCCGATTCCGAGCGGCTCTTGTCTGCTGCTTCTTCCTTTCCGGGCTGGCTTCCTTTCCGAGGAATCGACTGCTGCGGGATCCACCACGCCCGAGAGGAAGGCAGGCAGGCAGGCAATGCAGAGGGGAGGCCTTCCCCAGGCTCCCGCGCGGTCCTAGCGCCCGCCGGTTATCATTCCTTTGACAATTAGGGCATCCCTGGGAGTTGTAGTTTGACTTTCTGGGATTTGTAGTTTGGCTGTTAGGGCATCCCTTGGAGTTGTAGTTTGACTTTCTGGGATTTGTAGTTTGGCTGTTAGGGCATCCATGGGAGTTGGAGTTTCACTTTCTGGGATTTGTAGTTTGACTGTTAGGGCATCCCTGGCAGTTGTACTTCGACTTTCTGGGATTTGCAGTTTGACTGTTAGGGCATCCCTGGGAGTTGGAGTTTGACTTTATTATTATTATTATTATTATTATTATTATTAACTTTATTTGTACCCCGCTAGCATCTCCCGAAGGACTCGATGCGGCTTACACAGGCCGAAGCCTCAGAACACAATACAGTAGAAACAGTTGTACTTCGACTTTCTGGGATTTGTAGTTTGACTGTTAGGGCATCCCTGGGAGTTGTAGTTTGACTTTCTGAGATTTGTATTTTGGCATTTATGGCATCCCTGGGAGTTGTGGTTTGACTTTCTGGGATTTGTAGTTTGACTTTTATGGCATCCCTGGGAGTTGTGGTTTGAGTATTATGGCATCCCCAAGAGTTGTAGTTTGATTATTATGGCATCCCGGGACTTGTAGTTTGAGTGTTATGGCATCCCTGGGAGTTGTGGTTTGACATTTATGGCATCCCTTGAGAGTTGTAGCTTGTTATGGCATCCCTGGGAGTTGTAGTTTGAGTGTTTTGGCATCTAGGGAGTTGTAGTTCAATTGTTATGGCTACCTGGGGAGTTGTAGTTTGAGTATTATGGTGTCCCCGAGAGATGTAGTTTGACTGTTATGGCATCCCTGGGAGTTGTGGTTTGACATTTATGGCATCCCTGAGAGTTGTAGTTTGAGTATTATGGCATCTCTGAGAGTTGTAGTTTGAGTGTTTTGGCATCCCGGGAGTTGTAGTTTGAGTGTTATAACACCCTTGAGAATTGTAGCTTGTTGTGGCATCCCCGGGAGTTGTAGTTTGAGTGTTTTGGAATCTGTAGTTTGAGTGTTATGGCATCCTTGAGAGTTGTATCTTGTTATGGCATCCTTGGGAGTTGTCGTTTTATTATTATGGCATCCCTGGGAGTTGTATTTTGAGTATTATGGCATCCTGGAAGTTGTCGTTTGACTGTTAAGGTATCCTAAGAGTGATGGTTTGGCATTTGTGGCATCATGGGAGTTGTAGTTTGACTGTTATGGCATCCCCAAGAGTTGTAGTTTGAATGTTATGGCATTTCTGAGAGTTGTAGTTTGATTATTATGGCATCCTGGGAGTTGTAGTTTGAGTGTTATAACATCCTTGAGAGTTGTAGCTTCTTATGGCATCCCTGGGAGTTGTAATTTGAATGTTATGGCATCTCTGAGAGTTGTAGTTTGATTATTATGGCATCCCGGGAGTTGTAGTTTGAGTGTTATAACACCCTTGAGAGTTGTAGCTTGTTATGGCATCCCTAGGAGTTCTAGTTTGATTGTTTTGGCATCTAGGGACTTGCAGTTCGATTGTTATGGCATTCCGGGAGTTGTAGTTTGAGTGTTATAACATCCTTGAGAATTGTAGCTTGTTATGGCATCCCTGGGAGTTGTAGTTTGAGTGTTATGGCATCCCTGAGAGTTGTATCTTGTTATGGCATCTCTGGGAGTTGTAGTTTGATTGTTATGGCATCCCGGGAGTTGTAGTTTGAGTGTTATGGCATCCCGGGAGTTGTAGTTTGAGTGTTATGACATCCTTGAGAGTTGTATCTTGTTATGGCACCCCTGGGAGTTGTAGTTTGACTGTTATGGCATCCCGGGAGTTGTAGTTTGAGTGTTATGGCATCCTTGAGAGTTGTATCTTGTTATGGCACCCCTGGGAGTTGTAGTTTGATTGTTATGGCATCCCGGGAGTTGTAGTTTGAGTGTTATGGCATCCCGGGAGTTGTAGTTTGAGTGTTATGACATCCTTGAGAGTTGTATCTTGTTATGGCACCCCTGGGAGTTGTAGTTTGACTGTTATGGCATCCCGGGAGTTGTAGTTTGAGTGTTATGGCATCCTTGAGAGTTGTATCTTGTTATGGCACCCCTGGGAGTTGTAGTTTGACTGTTATGGCATCCCGGGAGTTGTAGTTTGACTGTTATGGCATCCTTGAGAGTTGTATCTTGTTATGGCATCTCTGGGAGTTGTAGTTTGATTGTTATGGCATCCCGGGAGTTGTAGTTTGACTGTTATGGCATCCCGGGAGTTGTAGTTTGACTATCACGGCATTCCCCGAGAGTTGTAGTTTGACAAGGCTGCTCACCTTCTCCGCTAACGATTGCAAAGTACAACTCCCAGAGATGCCCTCGCATTGAGCCCTGGCAGTTCTTCAACCGTGTTGACAGATGCACCTTTCCCTGCCTTATTTATGCTCTGCATCATTTGCATAAATGAATACTGGGGGGGGGGGGGATGCTAGTTATGATTCAGCAGAGAGAGAGAAGAAAGGAAGAGGACAAAGAATGCACATTTGAATAGATCCGCATCTCTACTGAAGTTAAAGGAAATAGGCCTCCGAATCCAAAGCCTCTCTCCACTGCAGAATTAATGCAGTTCGATACCATGTTTAAGGTACCCTTGATACCATTGCCACTCTATACATTGATATTTGCACCCTCCAAAACTCCTGGAGGGCATAAATTGGCCCATGTCTAGTCTACACTGGCGAATAATCCAGTTCAATGCAGATACTCTGCATTGTATATGGCAGTGTAGAAGGGGGCCCAGCCTCTGTTTCCCATAGTTTATCTAAGGCGGAGAAAGGTCTTGCTCCATTGATCTTCTGCAAATATATATATATTTCTTGCCGCTCTTCCTGGTTTTGAACCTGCTTTGCCAGTTTGGGATGAAAAGGATCTTCAGCTCCAGAGGCCGAGAAAGAATCCCAGGCCAGTCTGATTCAGATCAAAGGAATGCACCAGAGAAAGGGGAAGACACACCCAATTGCAGGAAATATGACTCCAGGGGGATGCATCTATACTGTGGAATTGATGCAGTTTGAATCCGGTTTAACTTCCAATGCCTCCGTTCCATAGAATCCTGGGACTCTTTGGTAGAGAAGCCTCAAGTCTATTTACATAACATATAATAATATATTATACATACTATACAATATTAATAATATTGTAACCTAATATAATAATATATAGAAAGAATAACATTGTAATGTAATAATACTAATAGATATAATATTACTAATAATATTGCAATGTAATAATATAATGCAATAATATATAATACTAATATTATGTTATACTAATATTAGATTTTATCTATAATACTACTTATAATATAATACAGTATAATATATGATACTAATATCATGTTATACTAATAATATATTAGATATAATTTATAATACTACTTATAATATAATACAGTATAATATATGATACTAATATCATGTTATACTAATAATATATTAGATATAATTTATAATACTACTTATAATATAATACAGTATAATATATAATACTAATATCATGTTATACTAATAATATATTAGATATAATTTATAATACTACTTATAATATAATACAGTATAATATATAATACTAATATCATGTTATACTAATAATATATTAGATATTATTTATAATACTACTTATAATATAATACAGTATAATATATGATACTAATATCATGTTATACTAATAATATATTAGATATTATTTATAATACTACTTATAATATAATACAGTATAATATATGATACTAATATCATGTTATACTAATAATATATTAGATATAATTTATAATACTACTTATAATATAATACAGTAAAATATATAATACTAATATTATGCTATACTAATAAGATATTAGACTAGCGGTCCCCTGCCACGCGTTGCTGTGGCCCAGTCTGGTGATATGGAAAATAAAGTATTAGAAAGTGCTGGTTTCTAATATATGTAATGTCTTTATTCTTATGGGTCAACAGTATTTCTTGCTGTTTCTTTGTCAGTGTTGATGTGGAGATTGTGTGGTTTGCCCACCCTGGAACATGCAATATATCACTGTCCTTCTTTAGGTGCCCCTTTCAAATCTATGATACTATATCTGTGTGTGCGTGAATCATATCTATGGCTGGATGGCTCTTTGTCAGGAGGACTTTGATTACGTTTTCCTGCCCAGGTGAAGGGAGTTGGATTGAATGGCCTTAAGTATTTTCTGTTGGTCGCGAGGGTTCTGTGTGGGAAGTGTGCCTCAATTCTGTCGTCGGTGGGGTTCAGAATGCTCTTTGATTGTAGGTGAACTATAAATCCCAGTAACTACAACTCCCAAATGCCAAGGTCTATTTCCCCCAAACTCAATCTGTGTTCATATTTGGGCATATGGAATATTTGTGCCAAGTTTGGTCCAGATCCATCCTTGTTTGAGTCTACAGTGCTCTCTGGATGTAGGTGAACTACAGCTCCCAAACTCAAGGTCAATGCCCACCAAACCCTTCCAGTATTTTCTGTCGGTCTTGGGAGTTCTGTGTGCCAAGTTTCGTTAAATTCCATCATTGATAGAGTTCAGAATACTCTTTGATTGTAGGTGAACTATAAATCCCAGCCACTACAACTCCCAAATGACAAAATCATAATTTTTGAGTGATGGTCACTCCTTGTGTTGTGAGACATTTTGCTGCCAAATTTGATGCGATTTTGTTCATTGATTCTTTTGTTTTTAAGGTACTCATTATGCACTGAGCATTTATATATAGATAGATAATGTTATATATAATATACCAATATTATATTAGTATGTAATATACTATTATATACTAACATTGTGGAATATAAATACCGTAAATAATAAATAATGATAAATATAGTAATAATGTATTAGATATTATCTATAATACTAATAAAATAATACAGTATAATATATAATACTAATATTATGCTATACTAATAATGTATTTGATATTATTTATAATACTACTTACTCTTGGGTTCCGCAAGAGACTAAAGACGTGGTTGTTTGAGGAGGCGTTTGACTAAGTGCTACAACAATTGGCAATGAGGATTGGAACGGAATATGGGAAACGAGATTGGATTGTGATTCTGATGAGACGTTGCGAATGATTTAGTGTAATTGTATTATTGATTGTGATGTTGTTACTGCTGTTTATGCTATTGCCTTTATTGTAAATTGTTTTTTATATGTTGTACACCGCCGTGAGTCGCCCTAGGGCTGAGAACTACAAGTGTCGTAAATAAATAAATAATATAATATAATATAATATTATGCTGTACTAAAAATATATTGTATAATACAGTATAATATATTATATACAGTATAATATATAATACTAATATCATGTTATACTAATAATAGATTAGATATTATTTATAATATTACTTAAAATATAATACAGTATAATATATAATACTAATATTATGCTATATTAAAATGTATTTGATATTATCTATAATACTATTTACAATATAATATAAAATACTAATATTATGCTGCACTAAAATATATATTGTATAATACAGTATAATTTATAATACTAATATCATGTTATACTAATAATATATTAGATATTATTTATAATATTACTTAAGATATAATACAGTATATCTGTATATCTGTATAAGATATAATACAGTATATACCCGAACAGGGCATAGGGTTACAGCCTGTGCTGGACGGGGTCACACTCCCCCTGAAGACGCAGGTTCGCAGCTTGGGAGTGATCCTGGACTCATCGCTGAGCCTGGAACCCCAGGTCTCAGCGGTGGCTGGGAGAGCTTTTGCGCAATTAAAACTTGTGCACCAGTTGCGCCCGTACCTCGGGAAGTCTGATCTGGCCACGGTGGTCCACGCTCTTGTTACATCCTGAATAGACTACTGCAACGCTCTCTACGTGGGGTTGCCCTTGAAGACTGTTCGGAAACTTCAACTAGTCCAGCGAGCGGCAGCCAGATTGCTCACCGGAGCGACATACAGGGAGCACACCACCCCCCTGCTGTGCCAGCTCCACTGGCTGCCGATTCAGTTCCGAGCACAATTCAAGGTGCTGGTTTTGACCTACAAAACCATGTACGGTTCCGGTCCAGTGTATCTGTCCGAACGTATCTCCCTCTACGTCCCACCCCGAACTCTGAGATCATCTGGGGAGGCCCTGCTCTCGACCCCACCACTGTCACAAGTGAGGCTGATGGGGACGAGAAGCAGGGCTTTCTCAGTGGTGGCCCCTCACCTGTGGAACTCACTCCCGGGGGAAATCAGGGCATCATCATCCCTCCTCGCCTTTAGGAGGAGGGTGAAGACGTGGTTATGGGACCAGGCCTTTGGGCACTCTGGCAATTAAATCAGGCATTCAGGCGAGTAAGACCAACAGGATTGGTGAAGTGGAACGTAAAACTAGATCTATGAGTTAGTGAACGCTGACCATGTAAGAGGAGAAATTGGGTTTGTATTTGGTTTTATTGATTTTATGGTTATAATGCATAAATTGTTCTTAACTGTGAATTGATGTAATTTTGTGTATGATTGTTTTATGACGCAGGCATCCAATTGTGCCTTTGCCTTTGTAAGCCGCCCTGAGACCCCTTTGGGGTGAGAAGGGCGGGGTAGAAGAACCCCAAATAAATAAATAAATATAATATATAATACTAATATCATGTTATTTTAATAATATATTAGATATTATTTATAATATTACTTAAAATATAATACAGTATAATATATAATACTAATATTATGCTATACTAAAATGTATTTGATATTATCTATAATACTACTTACAATATAATATAATATAAAACACTAATATTATGCTGTACTAAAATATATCTTGTCAATTATCTCTAGTACTCCAAGTGCATTCATTTTGCAGCAAGATGCAAAAGATGCCCTCTCTTCCTCTTTTCGTTCCTATCCGTGGTTACCTCTTTGCACACACTCCCTAGAGCGAGCCAATGAAAGAGGAATATGCAAAAATGTGGGCGGGGCTTAAGGAAGGGAAGAGACACTGACGCTGTTTCGTTCTTCACCGTGGGTTGTCTCTTTGACGACGGTCCCTAAAAGAGAGTTATGGTGACGCACGGCGCGGTGGGCGTGGCTAGAGACGCGCGAACGTCACGCAGCCACGCCCCCTCGCTAAGGCCCCGCCCCAGCCGCCCCACGTGATTTCCCGGTTCCGGAAGAGGATGGCGGCGACGGGTCGGCCTCTCCCGCCGCGGCTCCTTCTCTTCGTCTTCGGGGCCGCCTCGCTGGAACTAGCCGCGGGGGCCGCCTCAGAGCCCGGCCGGTGGAGCGTCGTGGCTGAAGGCGTGAGTGTCGCGACCGGGAGGGCCGGGGGGCGGCGCCTGTCGCGACAGGGGCGGAGCCACGTGGTCAGGGGGCGTGGTCGGAGAGGGGGAGGAGTCACAGGGCCAGGGGCGGGGCCAAAGGCGGAAGTGGTAGGCACACCTCCTCCCCTCCCATAGCATTACCTGTATTATTCTATCTATAGCTATTATATATTGTATTATATGATGGGTTATGGTATTATTATTATTATTATTATTATTATTATTATTATTATATTTATTTTATTATCTATATTATGCATTGAATTATATGATGGGTTATGTTATTATATTTATTATATTATCTATGTCTATTATGCATTGAATTATATGATGGGTTATATTATTATTATATTTATATTTATATTACTTATATTATCTACATTTGTTATGCATTGTATTATATGATGGGTTATTGTATTATTATAATTATATTAATTATATTATCTATATTATGCATTGTATTATATGATGGGTTATAGTATTATTATAATTATATTAATTATATTATCTATATTATGCATTGTATTATATGATGGGTTATTGTATTATTATAATTATATTAATTATATTATCTATATTATGCATTGTATTATATGATGGGTTATAGTATTATTATTATTATATTTATATTTATTTTATTATATTATCTATATATATTATACATTGTATTATATTATTATTATATTTATATTATATTCTTATATGTACCTTTATATGTGGGGGCCCCGGTGGCGCAGTGGGTTAAAGCACTGAGCTGCTGAGCTTGTTGATCAAAAAAGGTCGCAGGTTCGATTCCGGGGAGCGGCGTGAGCTTCCGCTGTCAGCCCTAGCTTCTGCCAACCTAGCAGTTCGAAAACATGCAAATGTGAGTAGATCAATAGGTACCGCTCGCGGGCAGTCATGCTGGCCACATGACCTTGGAGGGGTGTGTGGACAACACTGGCTATTCAGCTTAGAAAGGGAGATGAGCCGCCCTACACGAGAGCCATGCGTGACTTTGGGCCTTTTACTCTCACACTTAAGACCTGGCTTTTTACTAGAGCAGCGTTTCTCAACCTGGGGGTCGGGACCCCTGAGGGGGTCACGAAGGGGTGTCAGACCATCAGAAAACACAGTATTTCATGTTGGTCATGGGGGTTCTGTGTGGAAAGTTTGGCCCAATTCTATCATTGGTGGGATTCAGAATGCTCTTTGATTGTAGGTGAACTATAAATCCCAGTAACTACAACTCCCAAATGTCAAGGTCTATTTCCTCCAAACTCCATCTGTGTTCATATTTGGGCATATGGAATATTTGTGTCAAGTTTGGTCCAGATCCATCATTGTTTGAGTCCACAGTGCTCTCTGGATGTAGGTGAACTACAACTCCCAAACTCAAGGTCAATGCCCACCAAACCCTTCCAGTGTTTCTGTTGGTCATGAGAGTTCTGTGTGCGAAGTTTGGTTCAATTCCATCATTGGTGGAGTTCAGAATGCTCTTTGATTGTAGGTGAACTATAAATCCCAGCAACTACAACTCCCAAATGTCAAGGTCTATTTCCCTTAAACTCCATCTGTTTCATATTTGGACATATGGAATATTTGTGCCAAGTTTGGTCCAGATCCATCATTGTTTGAGTCCACAGTGCTCTCTGGATGTGGGTGAACTACAATTCCCAAACTCAAGGTCAATGTCCACCAAACCCTTCCAGTTTTTTCTGTTGGTCATGGGAGCTGTGTGCCAAGTTTGGCCCAATTCTATTGTCATTGGGGTTCAGAATGCTCTTTGATTGTTCATTCGTTCAGTCGTCTCCGACTCTTCGTGACCTCATGGACCAGCCCACGCCAGAGCTCCCTGTCGGCCGTTACCACCCCAGCTCGCTCAAGGTCAGTCCAGTCACTTCAAGGATGCCATCCATCCATCTTGCCCTTGGTCGGCCCCTCTTCCTTTTGCCTTCCACTTTCCCCAGCATAATTGTCTTCTCTAGGCTTTCCTGTCTCCTCATGATGTGGCCAAAGTACTTCAACTTTGTCTCTAGTATCTTTCCCTCCAGGGAGCAGTCGGGCTTTATTTCCTGGAGGATGGACTGGTTGGATCTTCTCGCAGTCCAAGGCACTCTCAGCACTTTCCTCCAACACCACAGCTCAAAAGCATCGATCTTCCTTCGCTCAGCCTTCCCTAAGGTCCAGCTCTCACATCCGTAGGTGACTACAGGGAATACCATGGCTTTGACTAGGCAATGGATCTTGGTTGCCAGTCTGATGTCTCTACTCTTTACTATTTATCGAGACTGGACATTGCTCTCCTCCCAAGAAGGAAGCGTCTTCTGATTTCCTGGCCACAGTCTGCATCTGCAGTCATATTTGCACCTAGAAATACAAAGTCTGTCACGGCCTCCACGTTTTCTCCCTCTATTTTCCAGTTGTCAATCATTCTTGTTGCCATAATCTTGGTTTTTTTGACGTTTACTGCAACCCGGCTTTTGCGCTTTCTTCTTTCACCTTGATTAGAAGGCTCCTCAGCTCCTCCTCGCTTTCGGCCATCAGAGTGGTGTCATCTGCATATCTGAGGTTGTTAATGTTTCTTCCAGCAATTTTCACCCCAGCTTTGCATTCCTCAAGCCCCGCACATCCTCGCATGATGTGTTCTGCATACAAGTTAAAAAGGTTGGGTGAGAGGATGCAGCCTTGCCGGACGCCTTTCCCAATCTTGAACCAGTCTCCTGTTCCGTGGTCAGTTCTGACTGTGGCTCCTTGGTCCTTGTACAGATTCCTCAGGAGAGAGGGAAGGGGGCTTGGGATGCCCATACCACTAAGAACTTGCCACAATTTATGATGATCCACACAGTCAAAGGCTTTAGAAGAGTCAAAGCAGAAATAGATGTTTTTCTGAAACTCCCTGCCTTTCTCCATTATCCAGCGGATATTGGCAATCTGGTCTCTCATTCCTCTGCCTTTTCTAAACCCAGCTTGAACATCTGGCAACTCTCGCTCCATGTATTGCTGGATTCTTCCTTGAAGGATCTTGAGCATTACCTTACTGGCATGAGAAATAAGGGCCACTGTACGGAAGTTGGAGCAGTCTTTCGCATTTCCCTTTTTTGGTATGGGGATATAAGTTGATTTTTTCCAGTCTGATGGCCATTCTTGTGTTTTCCATATTTGCTGGCAAATGGCATGCATCACATTGACAGCATCATCTTTTAAGATTTTAAACAGTTCAGCTGGGATCCCGTCGTCTCCTGCTGCCTTGTTGTTAGCAATGCTTCTTAAGGCCCATGCAACCTCACTCCTCAGGATGTCTGGTTCTAATTCATTCACCACACCGTCAAAACTATCCTCAATATTATTATCCTTCCTATACAGATCTTCTGTATAGTCTCGCCACCTTCTCTTGATCTCTTCAGCTTCTGTTAGGTCCCTGCCATCTTTGTTTCTTATCATACCAATTTTTGCCTGAAATCTACCTCCAATGTTTCTAATTTTCTGGAAGAGGTCTCTTGTCCTTCCTAGTCTGTTGTCTTTGATTGTAGGTGAACTATAAATCCCAGCAACTACAACTCCCAAATGACAAAATCAATTTTTTTGAGTGAAGACATACATTGGGTTGTTAGGTGTCTTGTGTCCAAATTTGGTGTCAATTCGTCCAGTGGTTTTTGAGTTATGTTAATCCCACAAACGAACATTACATTTTTATTTATATGCTTTATTTTTTCTCCCAAATTAGAGAAAGGAGGTAAACTGCTGAAGGAAATGTGACATATTGTAATATTATACATATGAGAAGAAAATATGACATTATATTCTATTGTTACTAGCTTGGGTACCTGATGTTGCTCGGGCTATTTGAAAAAGTCAGATTTTTTAAAAAATGCACAAAATGCATAAGGTTGTAGGTGAACTACAACTCCCATCATGCCAGGTTAACCCCCTGAAACTCCATCAGTGCTGAAAGTTTGTAATGTTGAGCGTGTCTGCTCTAGATACATCATTGGTGGGATTCAGGGTTCTCTCTGGCTGCAGGGTAAACTAGAACTCCCACCATGGTGACCCAGTCTCCTCAAACGCCTGCAGTAGGTTGAGTTAGTACTATGTGCCAAGTTTGGCCTGGAAACACCTGTGACCACCACACCACACAAGAGTCCAGGAATACAAGCAAACTGTTCATTGTAAAACATATAAAAAGCAGGAAATAAGAAAGGAAGATAGATAATCCAAAAAGGTTTTACAACAGGTGACGACCAAACAACAATCCAAATGTCTCATAAAGTTCCAGAGGTGACAGAGTCCAGGAACAGCCGGAAATCAGAAGTAAAGCATAAGTCCACAAGCAAGAAGGTTATTTATTTATCGTGTCAGGGGCAACCAGACCATTGTATTACATTTCTAACAGAACAAAACAAACAAACAGATTTTAAAAAACACAAAGTTTGCAAGCTTGGTAGTTGATTAAATGTCCTTTGACCAGTATCTGGCCACTTGGAGTGCCTTTGGTGTTGCCGCAAGAAGGTCCTCCATTGTGCATGTGGCAGGGCTCAGGTTGCATTGCAGCAGGTGGTCAGTGGTTTGCTCTTCTCCACACTCGTATGTCGTGGATTCCACTTTGTGGCCCCATTTTGGCTCTGCATCTCGTGGTCTGTTCAGCGCCTTCCAAGTCGCCCAGTCTTCTGTGTGCCCAGGGGGGAGTCTCTCATTTGGGTATCAGCCATTGGTTGAGGTTCTGGGTTTGAGCCTGCCACTTTTGGACTCTCGCTTGCTGAGGTGTTCCAGCGAGTGTCTCTGTAGATCTAGAAAACTATTTCTTGATTTAAGTCGTTGACGTGCTGGCTGATACCCAAACAGGGGATGAGCTGGAGATGTCTCTGCCTTGGTCCTTTCACTATTGGCTGCTACTTCCCGGCGGATGTCAGGTGGTGCACTACCGGCTAAGCAGTGTAATTTCTCCAGTGGCGTAGGGCGCAGACACCCCGTGATAATGCGGCATGTCTCATTAACAGCCA